TGACCGGTGACCGATCGATCGGCACACCTCTATAAATTAGGGAAAATGTTGTTCAATGGTGATGTTACTGTTATATAGCTGTCTGAATATATTATTGACATGCAAAGTGTGCATCTATATGCTCTTGAAATATTTAAGCCAACAAAATCTGCTATGCAGTATTTTGCAGTTCGTCTTGTCTAAACTGACAGTTATTAAATATATATTTTTGAAAATAAGTGTTTATGGTATTTCCTACAACAATCGATCATCTGGAAAAACATCTAATCTGTTCTAAGTGTTTGCTGATTTTATTCTGGCAATAATAACTCGCTTTACACATCAGCTGTCCAGTTTCTCAGCTGAAAGCACAAAAACAGGATGAGGAGGCAGGAGAGACAAATGGGAGTGCTTTTCATGATCATTAGTTGCAAAGAGAGGCCAGTGGGTATAAAAAAAAATAAACAAAGGAGAAGCATGAGCGTGTGGGTGGGGGGGGGAACAAGGATGGAATTTTGGGCACATTTAACTATTTTTAAATGCAAAATAAAGAGAATTAAAGAGAATCAACATATCTTCTTCGCACATTAGAAGAAGAAATGTTGATTTCTTCTTCTTCTCCTTACTAGCTCAGCAGCAGAGCTAGTGAGTTAGCTCTGCTACTCACTAAACTCATTAACAACAATCAAACCCAAGCATTATTACATTTTATTCACACAATGCTAAATGAAAAAGACTTGAGACAATAGATTAGCTAAAATATATTAGGGAGCAACATTAAAGTTTTTAAATAAAGCATTATCTGCAACAGCTCCATGAATTAAACTGGTAAAAATGAACAACAAACTGATGGAAAAGCCTTGTAAAAATTCCAGCAACAATTCATGCCAAACAAGAAAACAAGAGAGGAGAAGAAAACAGGAGCAACAGAGAGGAACAGAGAGAAAGAGTCCAGGCTGATAACATTCCACTAGAAAGAAAAAAAAAACTCACTAAGAGTACAATACAACCTCTCTGTGCAAACTATAATGAGCTGATAGGATAAGAATTTGGCCAGTCTCACACTTGACATCACTTGTGACATATAGGTAATAAAAATCAGTTTTACACTGCTAAGGAGTTCTGCATGTCTGAGAGTTTTGGGGCTTTTGTACCAGAGAGGAATCCACACATTGTTTCCAACAGTATGTCACAAATATAATTTGTTGCTTTTTCGGTACATTTGGAAAAGTTGCTAAAGATAACAGGTTGAAGGAATCTTTGAAATTATAAAACTAGTTTTGAATGCTAAAAAGCAAAACTATTGTTCCTAAACTCAATCTATGTTTTTGAATCCTCCATCTGTAAACACTCTTCATGCTTGACTTAGTGTCTAAATTCAAGTATCTAAAAATTTTGATTCATTTTCAAAAATACCAACACAACTTTGTAATCTGCTTCAGAATAAAAATTTGTCTTTAAAAGCACAAATTAAACACGCATCTGCCATTATTAAGTCTTTGACACTTGCAGAAACCCTGATGTAATTTTTTATGAAGCAATGAGGTAAATTTAGCCTCTTTAGACACTTGTAGTCAATGACGTTCTTAGACTGCGCCTGATGTTCTTAGAACATCTTGCGCTAACAACTGTATGTCGTTAGCTAACAACTGTTAGCTAATGACATATTTGTTTATGTATAAATAAACAAAAAACATGTATGTTTTAGTTTTACTTCTATAGACCACCATTAAATTTACACAAATATATGAGGGAAGCCTCCACAGAGCTCTACTTCAGCTCAGACAGAGAAAAGGAAAAACTAATTTGGTACAAGATGGAAATAAAGAACAAGAAGGAGAGTTATGGGATGGGATGATGAGTCCAACATGTCATGTGATGCTGTCATGTGCTCTTAGGAGAGGATCATGGAATTACAGGTGATCAGCAGTGCTTCAACACACTCACACACTCCAGAGGCTTAACTGGACTGCTCTACTGACACAGGTACACATTGGTCACCAGTACACTCCTGTCATTTTTCCCAGGAATAACTGTCTCATATCAGCTTGAGAATATCTTTTGCAAGAGTTTTAATTAATAACTCAGCCTTAACTGACTGTGTAGAAAAAAAACCAGCAGACAAACCAACAGGGAAAGATGGAAATTAACCCAATACATCAGTTTTTTAGAACAAAGTCTAATTCTATTATTTATTATTTATCTGCACCACACATGAATGTCTCACTGTCTGGGCACAACTTGGAGCAAACTCCTTACCGGCAGGTCAACGCTGACATCCGTCCCATCCAGTAAGGAAACCCGGCAGGTGATGATAGACGTTGCGTCTCCGGCTGCAGGGATGTGTGTCGTGGCCCGCTGTGCTTCTCGTAAACGGGTTTTCTCGGCGTGTTTGCGGATGGAGCGCCGGCCTAAAGTCCTGCGCAGGAAACTCAGCATGATGGGTGAGGAACAGAACAACAGGACCACACCTGTTGATGAAGAATGAAATTGGTAAGAAAGTAGCTGTGTGTCACTGATTATTAGTCCCTGGAAACAGTGGAAAGTTGCAGATTTCAGGGTCTAGAAATACAATTTATCAGGCTGGGTTTTATTTTCTACACATTCTACTAATCATAAAACAACATTATACAAAACATGATAAGCCTGTTACAAATTCACAATAAGCAACAAATCAATTAACAGCATGATGAAATGAGATCAATGATTTACAGTTGGACAACAATTATTAAACAGATGCTCCTCTTTTATTACATTTGCCTGTTCTGCCTGTCTAAACTGAATGATTATTGTTTTATGAAATGCAATTTTGGTTACATAATCCATTTTAATTATTGTCATTTTGGTTATTTTGTTTGGTTATTTGGACATTTAAAATGTTTTACAATTCCAGTGTTAAATGTGCAGGAAGTTTATTTTTTAGCATTTGAAACCTTTAGAGGCTGAAAAATACAACAAACGGGGGCAAGGCTTCGCTATCCAGTGGGACAAATACCCTAAACATTCAACCAGAGCAACAATTAAGTACTTTACATGAAATCATATCCAAAGTCCAGATGTCAAAAACTGAGAATGTTTGACAAGTCAAAGTTAGCTCTTTCAAGTCTTGTCCAAACTGGATTGAACAATTGAGTATCTTCTTCATAACAGAGTGTCTTCAGTCAGAGGCTTCATCAAAGTCGCTGTAATACAGACCACCACAGGAGATCCCTCCTCCACAGCCATTAGCATCTACAACAATTCTAAAGAAAGGTACGAGTTACAGCAACATTTATCTTGCTTCTCCGATAAATTAAGTATTTTGAATTTAAATTGATAGAATACGTATCAGTCAAAGACATTTTATAGGAATCTGTAATATACAATAATTGATTCAAGGGGAGAAATATCTAAATATTTTAAATGTGGCCAGGAGGCTGTAGTCCAGATTCCTTCAAAAATAAAGGCTGAATATCCCTTTACTCAAGTGCTGAATGAGCAGATGTCCTATCGGACATCGGGTCCTAACTTCAGCGTCAAAAACTAAAACCCAACGGAAAAAATACATCTTTAATTCCACGATTTATTACGTTTTCAAAACTATTTGAGTAAGCCCCCGGCAAATAAACGCAGATTTAATTGCGTATTGTCCATCTCAAGTTCGCAATCAGCAAATGCCCGCCGCTTTTTTCCCCTCCGAGCAACCGAGCTCTTCTTCAAAAAGTCTGGAACATTCCCTCACATTTTAATCTTAAATTGAAACAACGATTGGGAAGTAACCGTTTAATCCTAGCGACACCTGTAACGGTCAGGGCCTGAAGTACCTGAATATAAGCAACAGGTGGGCACTTGTTTTATCACACCGGCTGACGGCTGCAGATAGAACTAGTCGAATAGAAGAGACTCCGAACGTGCTCCGCTACAACAAAACAAACACCACCGTTAGCTCCCGGAGCTCACTGACTGACACACACTTGGATACTTACAAAAAAAGCCTCCTGGTAAAGAATTCACGGGGAAAGCACGTCCGCTTGCATTGTACTCCGCTAAAGTGGAAGTTTGTATAGTCCCATACTCTGTAACTTAGCTTTATTCTGTCAATTTCTCCGCTTTTTCTTTATCAAACCGCCGTCCTCCCTCCACAGGATAATTTTCCTCACAGTCCTAACAAAAAAGTAGGAGTCGAGCTCTCCTCAGGAAGTGACGTCAGGACAAATCCAGAACAAATTAAAAAAAATCGAATTAGCATATTTAAAGAGACAAACCCTTTCCCCGCTTTCGGACGTTATTTGTTTTATTTTCTAACTACAAATAATTATAAAATTGTACTAATAGTAATATCTGTATCTGGAAGAATTTCTGCTCAAGAAGTTATGATGGTATACTTTCAGCGCACAGTCACTGAGCAGGATTCATAAAAAGAAAAGCTCTTAATACAGCCATGATTAAAATATTTACAAAATAGAATAGAAATGCTTCAATTGCATTGAAAAGGCATTTCCTTTCTGTTTATTGAATTTTAGCCACAAATTATGTGCATCAGATTCATGTGGCAGCAGCACCTTCTACTGATCAACTGAAGGAATCACTCTTTAGACATCTCTGGATGGTTTCTGAAGGAGGTTGATGCCCTCATTGTATTTATTTAAATCAGTACATTGCTCTAGTTATTTATAAGATAAAATAATAATAAAAAAAATATTTAGTGTTTAGTAACTACTTGCTTAGTGTGAGTGTGAGTCATTGCTCTAGATCTAGACATTAATTTATTCCTTGATTTTTATTTGCTTTGCTTCAAATGACTTAGACTTCTTTAATTTAATAACAATTTGGAAACTAATTGTATAAGAGTATTAAATAATATCAATCCTGGGTTGTTTGGTTAAACAGTACTTGAAAGGACTAATGGGTCAGATATGTCTTTTGTAGATGCAGAATCAATATTTTGGCCAAAAATAGTAATAACAACAACAACAACAACAACAACAATAATAATAATAATAATAATAATAATAATAATAATTATTATTATTATTATTATTATTATTATTATTATTATTATTATTATTATTATTATTATTATTATAATAATAATAATTATTATTATTATTATTATTATTATTATTATATAACTTGAGATTATACCAAGCATTCAAAACATCACAACTCCAAACAAATAAAGTTTGGATTATTAATGGATTCTTGTTTGGAGAATATGTATCCTGACACTTACCTGACCGCTTACAGCTTCCAAAGTAATTTAAACCAAACTCCCAAGTCAAAATTGACAAGGAGTATGAATGAGTTAAAAAATAATAGTCTAACCTATTTGGGGCCCTAATTGTGTATATTCCACATTGGTCCCCCTTTCTGTTAATTTGAAACACCTTTCTTCAAATATTTTATATTTAATATATCTGAAGTTGTGTGATTTATCCCTATAAAATATCTAGATATGCTGTTCAACCACAGATATTTGCTTTATAAATCAAGGGGTCCATGTTTTTTTGTAATTAATTGAAGTCTTCAGTTGTGATCCAATGTTTCTCATGAGCTGATGGATGTTGCCTAACCTGATTTTTATAGTCTGGAAAAGCAATGTGATCTGAAGCCACATCTCCATGCTTTGACAGACAAGCTTTAATTGTTCAGAATCAAGCTTATAGACATGTCCAAAGCACCGTAAAACCATAATACCAGATAAAAAACAAGCAACTGAGGACAAAAGCTTCTTTTTATGACACAGGTAGGAAATAAACCAAAGGTTATAATACGGTAAAACACTTTGTGGTTCATTAAATATATACACTTGCTGTTTTAGATTGAAATAAAACAAACAAAACTTTGAATTACACAGCATTTGTGTCACATTTGGAATCATCCAAATAAAAATAAAACCATTTTTCTGCTCACAAATGATTTTCCCTTTTATTTTAAAGTTTTTTTTCATATACAACATTGTATTTACATGGTCTAGTAATATTTACACAAAATGAACAAGTGGCACTGTGTCATTAGGAGTTCTCTTCTTTGTTCTTTACAGGTGTCTCATTTTCAAAGAAAAACAACGATAAATTAAGAATAAAAGTACTTATTTTAACAATGCTTTACGTGTCTTAGATCTGCTTTTTATGTTCAGTAGCACTACCTGCCCACCCATCCTCTCTACAAAGTGCTGTCCCCTTCTCCTAACCAATTAAAACTGATATTAGTTTTTTACAAAAATACAACAAACTGAAACCCTCACCACATCTCGTCTCCTCCCGACTTCTATCAATCAGTACCTTAAACTCCCACTTAAATTATAAAATTCCCGACAAATTATGGAGATTTTTCCGCTTTTGTTCAGTTTCTTTTTTAAGCTGATTTGCAGCTTTAAGCTCTCTCTCTCTCTCATACACACACGCACATCAACAAAAACTGTTAAAACCAGTTCTTTAGCAAGACATTGATTAGCTGGTTTAAAACTGAGCTGTGCTTCTGGACCCGGCGTACTCTGCTCAGATGTGTCGTTTTGCCTTGAGGCCATGCAGAGAGAGTGGGATCTGTGTACAATGAACCGAAAACAGAGGCATCTGGGTGGAAAGAATGAGGAGAATGGATGCTGTGTGGGCTATGCAGAGATGACTGAAGGATGCTGGGCTGAATTTGGGAAGGTGACACACTAGAGGGAAAGCTTAAGCAATAAATAAAAAGTGGAAGAGGATGGCAGCTCTCTGAAAAAGGAGGATTCAAACACTGTAAATATTTTCTCAAGCAAGACTGAGGTGGATTCGGATGCATTTTTCCAATTTTGTGCAAAGAGGAGGTGAATATTCAAAAGTTTATGAACATTTTAAGTTTTAAAATGTTTTTGGTTCAATTTACAACGAAGGAACTCAATGTAATTGGTATTTTTAAACAATAGGCCAATACAAAGTTGTGCATAATTGACAAGAAGAAGAAAAATTATGCATGGTTATCAGAGTGATTAAAGGTGATCAGAAAATAAGAGAAAGTTAGATACTTTCTTTAAGTAGAGTTACTTGTGTAACTTCAGCAGAGTATAATTTCCGTCTTTATTCAGGACTCTGTAGTTTATTAAAGAACGCTCAAGAACAAACTGGAGGCAAAAAGAAAGTCATCCCATCTGCGATTTGGAAACAAGTGGAAGAAGGTGAGCCAGCTTAAGCTGAATATTTTAGCTTACGGGTGAAAAAAACATAATACTGTAAATATGGTAAACCTGGGTGGTGGAAGTGTTATGCTGTGGGCTTGCTTTTCTGAAACTGAGACAAGGGAGCTGGTTGAGGCTGATTGGAAAATAGACAGAGCTGTTTAAATCCTGTTCAAAAATGGCCCAGTCAAAGTCTAGACCTATTTACAATTGAGAAAATTGTTTTCTTCTAGGTCTAAGGTCTAAAAAATAATCTTCACAGACCCTCCCATCCCTCTTTTTGAGCTTCAGTTGATTTGAAAAGAAGAATTTACTCCCCATGTTTGCACAAAAACAACCTAAAATACTAGTAGCAGTAAGTGAAGGGAGAGTTGTAGTATTTACCAAGATGCATACAAATAAACACCACAGTTATCTTTTTTTAAATAAATGAAACCCATGCATCCTTTTACTTCAACTTTAAACCGGTGCATTTCTAATCCAAAAAACAAATTGACATTTGTTTTTTGATTTTAAAGGGGGAAAATAATGAAAATAATTTTTATTTTGCAAGTCCTCTGAAGAAAGGAGACAGAGCAACACAAATAAGACTTCACACACACATACACACACACACACACACCCCAAAGCAGCACAGAGCTGCAGGGGTTTCCAGAAAAATCCATGAGTTAATCAGATCAAAAAAATAACTTACCAAACTCTCAAAAAATCTAGTGAGGTAAAAATGAGTCATTTCTCTTTTTCATCACTCAAACACAATTGATGTAAAACGCTCTGGAGAAGATAAGATGGAAAAATGATTATGTGTAATGTTTGTGCTGCCTCTGAAGTCTTTCCTGTCAACTAAGCTCCTGTTTGCCACAACCCAGTTCAAAACAGGTAGAGTTTCACTCACCCCTTCTTTTAAAGGCTGAGATCAGCTCACTGTAACTACTTCTGTTGATGCGCCTCAAAAACAAACAAATACTGATTGCATAAAACTTGTAGCAGCTTTTCAACCACCTCTGAAACAAAACAAAAAAAAAAAGAAAAAAAAAAAAGAAAAATGCATGAAATACCTGGAAGTATCTGTGTGGCAAAACTCATTTTGATCAGACAGAAGATTTTCTTCTGGAATGATGCAGGGCTTTCCTGTTGGTGTCTGGCTCAAGGACACTTCAGCAGGAACACTGACAGGATAAAAAAACGAGAAATGATCCCAGTTGTTGAGTTCAGATTCTAGCTCAGGTAACTATTTCTCTTTCTGCCTGAATACTGCTGTGAAATTAAATAAAGATCTCCACTAAACAAAGGCCCTGAGGACTGCAAACTATGAATGTGTGTGTGCCTGTGTGTGTCCAAGCTCAAAAACACAGAGCATGAGAAAGTACCCAACCTGCCACAGCATTGGGTGAAAGAGGTGAAAAAGTGCTTTCAGCCATCCACCTGTGAGTCTATGCTGTCAAAAATGTAGACAAGAAAAGCGGAGAAAGATTTCAAATCAAATACAATAAATTAAATCACTGCGTTTTTTTTCCCCCTTTAAAAACCCCAAAAAAAAAAAAAAAAAAAAAAAAAAAACCTCAAACAAAACGGAGCAGGGGGCGTAACACTATTTCACTAGCTAAGATTTAATCAGGAAAGCATGAAGTTCTAGACTCGTACAAACAAACAGAACATACAGCTTTTTTTTGTTGAGTGGACAGGGTTTGACACAAACTAAAACACAATAAATACTCTGTCTGAGGAACAAAAGATAAGATTTCTTTCTGTATCAGCTAAAAGGACTTTAAAAAAGGCAGGTCCGTATGGCAGACTCGCTTAGAAGAGGACAGGATGACCCCTCTGGGTTAAAAGAAGAAGAAAAAAAACAACAAAAATGAAGGTCGGGACAGCTTTTCATCCATGGGGAAGCCCCTCCCCTTCGGACTTATGGCACTACAGCAATTTCCCAATCCAAACTTTATTTTTTCGTACTTTTTTTTATTCTTTGTACACTTGTCTTCTAACCCTGATCATAAAACACCCCGTCACTGTACCTATTCAACACAGCTGGATTTCTGTTTAGTTTTTTTTTTTTTTGTTGTCGTTTCAGTTCAGCGTTTTCATGTTTGTCCTTTTTTTCCGTTTTTATCGGCATAAAGTGCAACAGTGCTTCTGTTTTCTCCTCCTCCTGGCGACTTCCATGCTGAGGTCAGGGGTCAGCAGGAACGGGATCCGGATCTGGGTTCGCGCTGGTCTCGCTCGTCACGCTGGTGCAGCTCGCGACGCTCGGCTCCTCCTCCTCCTCTTCCGTCACTTCCCCCACGTCCAACACCTCTACTTCCTCGTCGTCGTCCTCATCCTCCTCGTCCAGGCCTCCCTCCAGAAGCTCCACCACAGCTGCCTCTGCTTCCTCTTCCACTTTCTCCGACTCTCTTCCGTCCTCTTTCTTCGCTTCCTTCTTCGTTTCCTCCTCAGCCTTTTCCTCCCTCGGCTTCTCCTTCAGCTGGTAGACGGCCGCTGCTTGGGGCTTGAACAGACCTTCATCGTACACTTTCAAGATGGCCTCGCACACAAAGCGGTACTGGCTCTGAGTAGAAAAAAAGCACAAAAACAGAAGAGAACATTAAAAGCACTGTTCTGTTTACAAGGGCCCTGCGTCCCATCATTTAGGTTCATTTTTAATATGAAATACTACATTACACTGTGAATTTATGGCAAGTATTTTCACAGCAGGAAAGATTTAAATATAGAACCTGCAAAATCCAGAAACTGGGATGGATAGATGGACATTAAACAAAGAAAGAATTATGTATAAAAGGGAAGAGGAAAGAGACACAAAAGGAAGGGAGCAAGTAAGGAAGGACACAAAAGACCCAAGAAGGAAAACAAAATAGAAAGAAAGGACACAAAAGGAAAAACACAAGGAAAAAAGAGAGGTAAGATCCAAGTAAGAAGGCAAGATATAAAGAAGAGAAATAAGGAAGGCTATAAGAAAGATAAAAAGGGAGAACATGAGGATGGAAAAGAGGTACAACAAAGAGGGAAAGAAACCAAAGACCCAAAGAAGAAGGAAATTAAGAAATAAATGAAGGAACAAAGGACACAAAGGAGGAAAACAGGGGAAGAACAAAGGAAACAAAGAAGGATGCACTCAGGAGGAAGCAGCTGCGCGATCACAATGGCCACTCTACTTACTGGTGTTTGTATCATCATGGCCCTCTGATCTCTCATGGTTCTGACAATATCCAGAGGATACACAGGCTGGCCACACTCCATCAGACACAATGATGTCTCCATGGTGATCAGAACCCCAGTTCGACCAATCCCAGCGCTGGGAAAAAAAAGATAAAACAGAAGAATGGAAAGAAATTAAATTCTCTTTAACCTCTTAGGTGGCTAAATATTAGGTTATGATCTTTTTATTAAAATGATGTTTTAATGTTCATTTTGACAAAACTGTTCTTTGAGTGAAAATCGATTTGTTGTGATAAAAAAAACATCTTGATTTCACACTAACTAACTAACTAACTAACTAACTAACTAACTAACTAACTAACTAACTAACTAACTAACTAACTAACTAACTAACTAACTAACTAACCCTCTAGCGTTTCTGACAGTATTTTTGTAGTACAGAATGTTTATCCGCTCAGATCATGAGGCTGTGTGAGCTTTCAGATCATGCAGCTGGAATTGTGGAATCAAAGGGGCGTGGTTTATAACTCCCTGCCTTAATCTGTGGGGGATTTCCCACTGTGCCTGACATCTGGTGTAAAGTGTTTAAGCTGTTTGGTTTTTGGTTGACATGGCTTATCTTGTTCCAACATCATCACTCTGTTAACTTAAACATTTTAAACAACAAAATTGTACCAAAAAAATTTGTGGTTCTATTAAAAACAATGTTGCAGTCCTGACTTTTTACCAACATGTTATAAGAACCCTTCCAAAATGCAATAATTGGTCATATTTTTTTTAAAACTAATATTTAATATGCTCTTCTAGAACAATGGCCGCTTGATGGTATATACTGCCATTCCTTGCCATATTTTTTAAGACTGCACATTCTCCTTAGGATGAATTAGCAGGTCTATCTCTGGAATGATGAAATGATTAGCAGCTGTCCTAAATGTTGTCCACCTATTTATAACTTTGTCTCTGCAGAACAGTTGATTTTTGATTGTTTGTAATGAATCGTATAACCCATAGGCGGTTCTAGACACAGGCCAACAGAAGTGGCTTTTTGACTCACATATATTAAAAATGATGAAATATTGCCCTGTAGCCAGCAATTTATTCACATATATGTACATTTATTATTATTGATACTTTAATTAAAGATGAATTGTCCAAGTTTATATCATTGGGGTTAGGGGCGGCGATCAGATGTTCGCATACACCTCAGAAAGTATGTAGTTGCGCCCCTGCCAACACCTATGCTCCAGACCAGCAAACTACTAAAATGTCAAAGTTGATAGAAATCCAACAAGGACATTGCATACATTTCAAGTGTTCTACCTTATTTGACTTTTCTTTTACCAATATATGCCAAATTATGTCATGTCCAATAAGATTTTATTTTTAAACAGGGGAAGTGCTTTAATTTTCACATCACTTGGAAAAGAAAATGACTTGAAAATGATTGAAGATGAAAGATATTTAAGTACAATACATGTCTGCCTTCCTACTGTCATTATTCAGAGATTGTCTACCTGCAGTGCACCACCATTGGCTGGTCCTGTCCGGCCCGTTTGCTTCGTACCAGAGCCACAAAGTCCAGGAAATCGGTAGAGTCATCAGGAACGCCGTGGTCCGGCCAAGCCAGGTACTGGAGCTGAGTGAGCTCTCTCTGCTGTTCACTCTGGGGGGAAAAAAAAAACACCACATAAAATTACTAGACAAATAAAAAAGACTTTGTTTTTCAGGATATGCTCTATTGAGATGTGAGTAGATACAGCAGATAGAGTCTAAAGTTCAGAATCGCATCATCAGAAGCACGGATCCATTAAAACGCCCATGCGCGGTACTAAAGCCAACTTTTCATTTACATATTCCCTATTTTGTAAACAAAACATTATTCATCCCACTCCTCGTTCCTCCAGTTAGTTCATCTTTTCGCTCTCTCTCTCTTCCTGCAGCGTGACCGACTGTGGTGGTTGCGTTGTCATGGCAACCAGTTCCCACAGCATGAGACCGGCGCTCAGCAGTGGGATCCAGAAAAAGAACAGCCCACACTGGTCACTATGGCAACACACCTCTTCGGGGTTCTCAGCAGGCTGAATGCACCTCGTTTCTAAGTCTGTTTGGTTCAATGACTGTGTGTGTGTGTGTGTGTGTGTGTGTGTGTGTGTGTGTGTGTGTGTGTGTGTGTGTGTGTGTGTGTGTGTGCGTGCGTGTGTTGTGTTACCTGTGAGTGAGTGAGAGTCATCTCCCGCACCAGGAAGGCGGAGTTGCCCTCTTCGTTGTGGCACGTGACTTTAAAGTCTCCGTAGGTGGCGCTGCTGTCTGGGTTGGGCCAGTACTGGTGACACTTCACCTGTAAACACAGACGGAAGGTTCCGGTCAGATCTGTGCGCCGAACGGATTATTCTGAGAGCCTGCAGGTGTCAACACTGCTTCTGGAGCGTTCGATGTTGTTACGCAACGCCGGTTTCACTCTTTCTTGAGTTTGTTCCATGGAAACTGAATGAATGAAGAGATGCAGCAAAGATAAAGCTCCAGTCTCCAACTAAATATTTTGGAAAAGGGAGAAAATAAATGAGGCAGGCAATTCATATGAGACAGGCATGAGAAGTTTAGACTTTTAGAAATGGACAATTAAATCCACCGAGTACAAAGAATGGATGGATGGACAATAGAAAAAGGGATGAACAGATAACAGAAAATGAATGAATGAATGAATGAATGAATGAATGGATGGATGGATGGATGGATGGATGGATGGATGGATGGATGGATGGATGGATGGATGGACAGACAGGATTTAAACAGCTTTGTCTATTCTCTAGACAGGACGGATCCTGTCTAGAAACATTTCTCTTTTTTATACTCTAAACTCTCTGGTATAAACTCACTTCACACTGAAACAAAACCTGGAAGCTGAAATCAAATCTCCAGTAGAAGCGTCATGGTGTTTTGGTATGTAGGTGTCACGTACCCTGCCCCTCTCCACCTGTGTGGTCAGCATGACCACCATCGACGAGCCCTGCTCCCAAGTCATCCGCCAGAAGTCAGGGCAGGTGTTGGGCAGTGGGCCCTGGCACGCTATGTAGCGGTTTATCAGGCTGGACGCAGGAATCTCCATCTGCACAGAGGAAAACATCATGCAGCAGAAAACGTCAGAAAGAATGTCAACGTATCGCTTTGTCACAGCTGAGCTACAATGAAAACATATGAAAGATGCTTACATTGATGTAGTTTGCATTTATGTAGTCGTCTGTGCTTTTCAGTACGACCCGTGTGGCATCATCTGTTAGAGAATAAAAGGAGTGAGGCTACACAGTTAGTAGGGATGAAATTATTAATCGTGATTACTTGATTATTGAAATAATGCTCAACTAATTTAGTAATCCATTAATCATTAACTGGAGGATGCAGACTAAAAAAAACTAATTTTCTGAAAGAACAATGAACTCAGAGCAGTAATTAGGGAAAAACTGTACAACAATATATACATTTTACATTTTTGTGTGTTGTATTTGTTCCTGCCTCTAGCCCTTGAAAAGTAGATTTTAATTTCAATGGATTTGTATTCTGGTAAAATAAAAGTTGAATAAAAATAAAAAACAAGATGAAAAATCTTTATCTGTAAACTCATACTAAGCATCTTTTGTTAATAAACTATTAATTTGTTAATCCCCCAAAAAATTCACCAGATTATCCCTATACTGTACTGATGCTAAGTCAAGCAGAAAGCTTTTCATGTGCTGATGTTAGAAGTATTTTCTTGGCAGATGAAAAATCCTTTGCTGCAAATAATCAAGCATTCACTAAAGCAATGCTGTTACTGGATTTTAGGCAATAAAATATTTATTTTCTTATTTAAAAAAGGAATTAAATTATTTATTATTCATTCATATTCTATTATTTTATATCTAATATTGTGTAAAAAAAAAAAGGCTTTAGTGGTGAAATGAAAAATCTGCAGAATGTGGATTTTTTTTATCCCATTAATTTGATTAGCTGCAGCTCTAAAATTTAAGATGAAAACAAGCAGAGAAGGGAGCGAGTGTGAGGGGAGGAAGTAAGCAAACACGTACATGGGGAGATGTCTCTGTAGCGATTTTTGGAAACGTTCTGAGGTAATTTGGCACACAGCATGGTCATCCCCGGCCTCTTCCTGTACAGTTGCTGTGGGATCAAAGATGGAGATGATCAGCAGGATAAGCCTTTCCCTCTCCGATGCATGCGGCCAGTCTGACTGCGTGAACCGGCTCTCCTTACATCAAACTGAGCCAGAATGGCTCCACTACTCAGGCCTTCCTTCAGAGCCACCATGGAGTCCCTCAAGGCATGTTGGTCGAGCTGGGTGGGATCCTGCAGGGACTTCTCTGGGATGTACTGAAATTCCGGCTCGGAGTCGACCTTCTCTTCCACTACGTCGTAGATGGCTGGAAGACAGGGAAGCAAGTCACGCAACTTTTTCTGGAGCTCAAGATGAGAAGAAGAAAAGCATTTATATTTGTTGTATTAACGAGGTACCAGATTTTTTCTGCATCAGGCTGTAATGAAGGTTTCCAAGAGATACCGGTTTGAAGAAATCCATACATTTTAGGTTTCAAGTTGAGATGTCAGAAGAACCTCACTTTCACACACCATTTTAAATCCTTTCAGCTCAATTTTCTGGTTGATCAAAACAGATTGACTGATCCCTGGGCTTTGTGACGGCCACTGCAAAACATAGACTTTGTTGTCCTTAAGTATGCTAACAATACGGCTGATTTCTTAAAATGTTGCTTCAATTTTTTCCCCTTAGTGTGTTTGTTCTCTTGATGCCATCTATTTTGTGCAGCAAAACACCTTCCACAACATGATGCTGCCACCACCGTGCTTTGTATTTGTAAAGGTGAATGTAACAACAGTCATCATGGATAAATTGTTCAATTTTTGTCTTTTTTTTCCAGCCATATATTTAATTGTAAATACCTGGTTGCAGTTGTACAATTCCATAGCTATGATTGAAATGAGGCATTCATCCTGGTGTGAAGAACTCTTTCAAAATCCGTAGCTTAGCCTCAAACAGTCAAGTACGGCTGATCTTTCTGATTCTACCATCCTTTCTAACTTCTTTTATCAGCTGCTTTAAGCATACAGAAAAATAGGATTGGAGCTTTTTTAATAAAATCAGAACTACAGCATAAAACCTTTAACTTCTCTGTATTTTTTTAGGAGTACTTGAGTTCAGAAGCTTTGATTTTACTGTAAAAAATAATTTACCGTTCGGCCTGACCAGTAGGATGAGTTCTCCAGAGTGGCTTTCACAGCTGGCCTTGATGAACATCACCACCTGGTCATGGGTGTGGTCAGAGATGTCCCGCCCATTTATTAGAACCACCTGGTCCCCTTCATTAAGGCGAGGCACGCAGAGGTCGGCCTGAAAAGGCAGAAACAGGTAAGAAAATGATCCTTCATCGCCCTGAAAGGTTTCTGCTCAGATCTTTCAGTCGTTAACATACTGAGGTTCCCGGAGCCACTCTGGACACAATGATGGGCATCTTCTGGTCAGCTCCACCCTGGAGATAAACACACACACGTTAAAAGTCCAATAATTTTTATATATTTTTTTAAAGGCTGCAGACTAATAACTGATCCAGTAAACCACAGGATTAAAGCTAACCTTGACATTGAAGCCGAAACGTCCGTGTTCATCGGGCCTCATCTTGATCAGGACCAGATTATCGTGTGGGACGACTCCGTTCAGCTGAAAGCATCCATTAAAAACACAACACAGTTAGACTTGTATCCAAACAGACCCGCATTCGTTATAAATACTGAAGATGTGCGGGAGATCAAAGACATGAATGCGTCTAATTCGACCACAAGGGGGCAAAAAGTGACATAAAGCTGCATGACTGTTTTATAGCATTAAACATTTTCATTTTCATTTTAGCATTAACACCTTTTGAAGCATACTCTATGAGGTATTATTGTCAGATCAAAGGTAATTTTAAGGAATAAACAAGCTCTCTTTCTGCCATTGTCTTATACACAAAGCAGAAAATGTGTTGGAAAAAAATACATTTTAGCATTGCACAAAAAGAATAAGTATTTCCTGGAATACATTAGTCCTGTTATGTAACAAGCATATAAAAATAACTGCTATGCTGATGGGGGAAGATTTTATGAATTACTATAAAGTCGCTTCAATGTTTATGGTGAAAAACGTTCCGATAAATTAATATTTTAGACAAACTCAACCTTTAATTTGAGCTCACTTTCAAAGATTTCTTGAAGTCAATGCAACTGACAGTTTTTTTAAATTTAACTTTTGTTTTTGCGAAGTTATCAACGTGACAGTGATTACTAATTAATAATCTAAAACATTCTTGTTTTTTGTTTTGCGAACGTGACACAGAAACCCATTTCTCTGAGCAACTCTTAAAAAAAAGAAAGATAAATAAGAAAGTCAGATCTGTACTGATTTGTTTTAAGTTGTAAAAAGCCTTCAAGAAATAGGTACTTAACTAAAGTTGCCCTTATCTACAGTCAGAGAAAGTAAAGATAAGAAAAACTGGAACTGTCACAAACCAGGCAAAAACAAGGACTGATATTTATCTTGCCTAAACAGACAGAAAGTGTGGGAAAGCACTTCTTCTCCACTTTGAGCTGCAGTGTAGAATCTGTGATGCTGTGGGCCTGTTTTTCTTCTACTGGCCGTTTTAGAGCGCGTGGCACCATAAACCCTGATAAACCAGGAGATTTTAAATAGAAAAGTGCTGTTCTTTGCTACAGAGTTGAAAAAGAATCACCACTGGATCTCTTAGTGGAATATCCAACACATACCGCCAAAACAATAAATAAATGGTTTGTCGGACCTGGTTCAAGGTAATAAAGGCAGGGATGCTAAATATTGAAGTTTTTTTTTTAAAGCTCAAAATAAAGATTTAATTTTTCTGTTTTTTTATGTGTCTATATTAGGCTGTGATACTGTTACAAAAGTTACATTTATTTTTAATACTTTTTTCCTCGTGTGTCAACTAACAACCCCATTATCAATATGTAGATAAACAATGTTCTGCGAGGCATTAAGAGTGCTTCCCTCGGGCTCACTGACCGTGGTTTTGTCGGCGTTGACGGGAACGTCGTACATCTCGTTGAGGTGGTTGTCCAGGAGGCTCTGCTGCGAATGGGCCTGGATGATCTGGCTCAGAGTTTTCCTGCTCAGCTGCTTCGGAGGCAGAGCTGGAGGTTGGCCATCTACCCCATCGGGAGACCTGAAGAAGAAGAAAAAGATGGAAAATGTTTATATCACAGTAGAGTAAGGGTCCTTCCACAATGGCTCTTAATACCCGGCTAAAAATGAAAAAGAGCCAGCTGATGTTTTAAAACTTAGAAATAACAAACACAGGTTATTCAGAAGTCAATATTTGAATTGAATTTCCATAAGGAATTACTCTAAAGCCACTAGGTTTAATTTTTTTTTTAACATAATTTTCCATCCTACAGAGAAAATATATCCATCCTCTTTTTGCTCAATTTGATGTTTATCTTTACTTCAAATCCTAAAAATTGAAGTAAAACTATCAAGTTTCCTATGGCAGATATTTAAGACAAACGTGCAACATTTGCAGCTCTAAACAAGTTTTATTTGGCTGGCCTGTAAGAAAAAAACGGCTCTTTAGGTTGTAAAAGTTGCAGAGCCTTCCAATAAAAAAAGTAGATACAGAGGAAAAACTGAAGTATTTACAAGGCGTATCCTGATGTTTCTTTTGCATGATATGCTAGAGCCTTTTTTACTGTACAAATTTATTTCCAAACATACTGTAAATTTATTTAAGAGGAAAAGAAAAAGAAGTATAAATGAGCACGAGGAAAAAGTAGACAGAAAAGGGGTAATAACTGTTTGTCCCAGTGCATTAACCTCAATAAAAAGGCAGCAAAGGGAAGGAAAACAAGCACCCCTCACGCTCCATCTCCATCAAGCAGACAGTAAAAGACCGTTAGTGCGCAGGGGGAAACAACATGGTCAGTCAGTTAAAGCTTTCAGCAGCGTCAAGGCTCGCTCCTTTGTGGGTTAAAAAGCCCGTCGTTTCACTCTGTGTGCGTTTCTGTGTGAGGGGAAAAAGGCTACGAAACGGCATTCCTTGGGGGAAGGGAGCATCAGTCAAAAAGCATCGCATTTGTTTTGGCTGCTGCAACTGGTGCCACTTTGTGTCTTAAACAGACGCACACAGGCTGACATTTACTACGGGTCAAAACCAGGTCAGGCTGAGACGGTGCACAGCAGGACGGAGCCGAGATGGCACGTCCACCTCCTTCACTGTGATCGCCACAGACACGAGGCAGACGCACCTAATGGATCTGCAAACATCTGCACGTCTGACGTATAACCAGTCATTTACTTTTCACATTTAATGATTCAGATCAAACTAATTTTTTATATTCAACTCAATTCCCAAAGGGAAATTAAATGTCGTAACTCAAATCATCCAAGTTTGCATAATAAAAGACACACTGCATTCATTAAAATGTAATTTTCATCACTGGTTTTCTTAATTGTTGACTGTATGGTGTCTTTTATGATTTTGTATTCTTTTGTTTTTGTGATGTAAAGCACTTTGAACTGCATGTTGCTGAAATGTGCCATACAAATAAACTTGATTGATTGAATTATAGTCAAAGAATCGATATTGATGATGATGTTAGCAGAAAGGATTTCCAGAAGGGTTTCTGCAAGTTTCACCAACTCAAATTTAAGACTTGCAGCCTTTTTAAGATCTGTGTTACAACAGAAATGTACAAAAGATGATAAATTGTAAATAGTTCTGCCACCACAAAATTTAAGATCTGTGATTAAGGCCAAAATAGTTTTTTAAATAAATTTAAGACATTTTACAGTTTTAATTTTAGATAGGCACCAATGCTTTCTTTAGATCTGCGTTGTTTAGATTTGTGTTAGTTTTCTAGGTCTTACTGCCTACTTCATGTCGACATACAGGTTCTGTTGTAGATATTTCTTGATTCTACAAGTCTGGAATCGTCTGTGTCATTGTTTAAATGTTTAAACAGTAAGAAAGAAGAAATCATATCTGTTTAGAGGATTGTTAAGCAGATTCAGTTAAAACTAATCAGACACCAGATTAAGAAACTGAGCACCAAGCTTTAAAAAAAAACACCAATTTCAGGTGTATCAGCAAAATAACTCGAGAAACAATCACACCCAAAGCATGATTCAACTAAAACACAGTATAATATCTAGATTTCTGTGTTGCTGAGTGAATCGCAGAGTGAGCAACTGCTTCTCCTGCAGAGGAAATGTAGACTCTCAGCACAGAAAATCAGGGAAAATCGTTGGGAAGATCTGGATTATAGGCTTGAGTAAAGTGGTGAACCAGGAAATCAGTCAGGATGGCAAATCTGCAGTTGCATTTTTAGTCTTTTCCATCAGGAACATAAATTGTCAGAGAGGAAAAAATGCAGCATTATAATCTGCAGCAATCAGATGGTTATTACGAAGGAAGTGGATTGGGACCAAATCTTTTCCACAGACGCTATAATGAGCTGGTGAAAGATAGACATTAGAGCCACCAAAGCTTTAAAATATAACTAAAACTTAGGAGGTTTGCAGAAATATCCGATATTAGAAAGAGCCAAAGTGGATATGAACGGATTGAAAAAGCATCATTTGTCACCGTTACGGTTACCGTGCCAACAAGTGAAAACACCTAACACAGACTGCTTATGTGGAGTTCAATTCACTTTAAATTTAACACCAACAGTGTGATATAATGCATTGCATGAACACCAGCAAGATAATTATTAAAGGCTATGCGCTAAAGATCATCTTTAATGCAGAAAAGTATAGATTACAAGCTCATAAAACTTGAAGAATCTATTAAAAAATGCTGTGTGATGCAATGCCACCCAAGGTTACTTGACCTCTGCTAAAGGTGGGCAAATAAGTCTTTAAATAACTAATTTTTAGTGCAATTAACATTATCTCACACATTCTTTCCAAAAATATTTAACAAGATTGGAAAATACAGAGAGAGAATTCTTTGACATATGATAATTATTTTATAACATCTAGGTCTGAGGTCTGAAATAATCATGAAAATAGCTTGATTTTGTGTCTAATTAATCATTGTGTTAGTACTCTGGTCATTTTGACAACGTACTTGTAGTTTTCTGTAAGACGGCAAAAGTTTTGTTTTTCCATAAGTGAAGAATTTGACTGATGTTCAAGCATTCACACTGTGCAGACATGAGTATTAATAAATCAATTTTAGGTCAAATAAAATAAGGCTATAAGATGCATATGTACATGTTTTTGCAGCTGTTCCTGACTCTAGATCTGTGCAAGTCCATGATGTCGTTCACTCTTACACGTTTTCGAGGACCTTAGGAAGAAAAACAGGCCCACACCATCACAGATCCTCCACCCTGCTCAGCAGTGGGCCTCAGTTGCTTTTCCACTTTGCTATTTATACTTTGTTTCTCAACTGATCCCTCTGGAGCGCTCATAGCTAAGAAGCTCAATCTTTGGCAGTTTTTACAACACAGCTGTGCTTCAAACAGACCAGAGTTTGTTTCCTCAAATTGTCTCCTTCAAAAAAAACTTTGTAGGACACTCTGATCAACTTGAAAAAGGAAAGTATTAAGAAAATGATGTTCTAGTCAGTTTATTTTATCCTGGCCGGTAGGAGACCAATAATTGTGACTCTGGCTTTGGACAGTTAGTGACACTTTGATTCAACCTCGCCACTCTGAAAACTGCTGCAACTCTTTAATTCTTTGCTCTCCCCTTCAGACTTTAAAAACAGCAATTTGGGACCTTAAAGAACTTTACCAGATATTTTATAGTGCGTGAGCAATTTGAGGATGAATCCAGATCTACTTAAGTCCTGTTGTTCAATCTCCTCCACCCTGCTCTGCTGCTATAAACACATTTTACGGGCTGTTTTTCAAAGGCTCATCTTTCCAGCAGGGCAAGCTAAGTGACACTGGGAGAGGGTGTGAACTGCTGGGAGAAGCCACAGACACCGAAAGACGTTTAAAGGGACAAAAATAAACCCGTCAGCGCAGCAGAACAGACAGACTAGCGCTGATGAGGAAAATGTAACTGCTAAATTAAAGGCTGGCTGTTCTGAGGAGATGTTTTATTTATGAAGCAGTGAAATTATGATCTAACTAATGCTCTGCCAAGTCAAAGCTGATGTTTTCCCCGAGGAGGAAGACGTTGTTTTGAAAAGAAGAAGAAAGGAAGATGGAAGGAATGGAAATATTCAAATGAGAATGATGAGTAGCAAAAAAAAGTTAGACTGACGGTGTCGAGTCCAGGCTGATGCTGTTGGCCTGCGTGGACGACGCCGACTTGTGATTGGAGGAGAAGACAGGTAGGCTGGGCGAAGCGTGGATCACATGATCAACCAGGTGGCCAACCGACGACGGGCGTAGTCGTGTGCCATCTTGGACAAACAGCGAGTTCCTGGCAAAGACAAACAAAAGAGGTTTAATTTCAACATAAAGTCAGCGTTGGTGCGTCACAGAACAACCAGAAGAGTTTATATTTGCCATTTTTAGATTTTTGTTCTATTGGCTTTGAATTTAAAATTTATTGTATCGTGTTTATGGCACTATTGTTGCACTTTATAGTTTAGAAGAGTAGCTGTGTTTCCATTACAAATGTGCACAAAAGTTTGTCGATGCTCCACTAATGTCAAAAATACACAATTTCGCAATTGTGGCATTTCCATTAAATAAGAAGCGCAATTAAAATTACACGTGAATAAGTTTGTTCACGCAAAGTGATTAAAAAACCCTGCCACGCCATCATCCTCCTACCACTTCCTGTAATTTTCTTCGTCTCTTCTGCCAGTTTCGACATCTGGTTGTTGATCACACGACTCATGTGTTGTGAGAAAAGTGTTTCAGTAAACCTCATCTTAGCCCAAAAACTTTTTAATCGAAAAACAAGAGTTGTGTTTTCAAAACTAGTGCATTTCAATTCAGCAAATTTATTTTTGTAACTTCAATTTGTGCAAGGATTTGGTCAATGGAAATGCAGCTTCGAGAAGTAGGTTTTTGGTTTGTGTTCAACAGGTTCAGTACGGTTACAGAGAAATTGCTTTGCAAAACTACTCACATCACTTGAACGTTTCCACAAATATCTTTATGTTCTATCAGGGTTTATGTGCTAAACCAGAGATCTGCAACCTACACAAAACAAAGAGCCACTTTTGCCTCAGTCCAGGTAAATAAAACTAGTTCAAAGCCACAAATGTTACACAACCTTTCATGGAAAAACAAATTAAAATTCTGAATGAACATATACTATTATTATACTAAATATACTATTATTGCTGCGTTTAGGTTTTAAAAAACATACAGCATTTACAAAAAAGGATTAATAATTATTTTTCTATGGGTTGCTGATGTTTGCAGATGATTTTCACAAACAAAAAGCAAAAAAAAAAAAAAAGTTTTCAATGTTATTCTGCTGTGGAAATCTGTTCCAAAATTTATTTCATGCATTAAAAAAAAAAAAAAAAAAAAAAATTAATCCATTACAGCAATACTTTAAAAAATCTTGTTGGTTCTAAATTCTTAGCCAAATATTAAAATAATAATAAAATACATTAAAATTAGTTGTAATTTGACAAAACAAGAACAAATTCAAGGGGTAAACATCTGCAAACCCCTGTATACTCAAACTTAATTCATTCCTACATCTAGAACCTATGCAACAACCTGTAAGGCGGCTTAGGCATTTTATTATGCATCATCTTTATAAAAAAAAAAAATCATGAAGGACTAAAATCTGTTAGAACTCACTGGTTCGGCGTTCCAGGTGGCGAACGTGTGGGCAGGCTTTGGGTTTCCAGTCTCTCGTCTGATAGGCTGTTCCTGCTCACCGACTCCCAGTCGGTCCCGCCCACCAACTTCCTCGCCAATGGCTTGCTGGGAGACCTGCTCAGAAAATGTCGATTTCCAGTTACAACCAAACTAAAAACGAAACTCAGCTTGCCTCCACTTTATTCACGACAGCTAGTTTTCTTTACGTTTTCTGTACTGTGTCCTTGCTGTAGGCATGATACTGTAACTGCCACTGACGAAAGCAAAACAGGAAAAAAAAAATCAGGCACCTCACAGAATGAAGAATGAAGAGTGTTGAAGATGTTTTAACGCAAGAATAGCAGCTACTTGTGAGTGTGTGAATGTGCTGAGTGGAGAACCTAACACTTTCTGTTTCAGAATCAAAACCCTGCTTTTCTAATCTGGAATTAGCCTGATCAACCACATTGGTCCACATGTTAATGTCATGTTTTTATTCATAGTTCTTGTGGTTCACACATTCATTTACTGAATTGTTGTCACACATATATGTATAATCTTAGTCTGACAGGAAGAACAAAATGAAGGCCAGTTTGAGGTCTACATGCAGAAATAAGAAAATGCAACTTAAACTGATGAAAATAATTCTGGATTATTTGCGAAGTAGGACAATGACACCGAGTATATCACTAAGCATCACTAAAAAGTTGATTTAATGAAGTCATTCAATTCAAAACATGAAAGTCATATTTTATATAGAGTTACTGCCGATAGAGAGATGTAGTTCATTCTTTATTTCTCCAAAAACCCAAACCCAGTTCTGTTTCTCCAAACATTACCAATAAAAAGAGATTTTTATAACAGAAATGTTATTTTAAGACCACATTATGGTGAAGACTGCTGACTTGACAGTCACTGGTACCGTTAAAAAAAATGGTTAAGCCACAAAAGCCTTTTGCTAAAGAAGGAGCCTGTTCACGGCATGCTGCATCTAAGCTGAGATGCATATGTAACGGTGGCTGTTGCTAATTTATGTGGGGAATTGTATCATGACACACTTCTGAGGAGTTTGACATTTTAAGGAGTTCAATGTCCTCAAACTTCCCACAGATTTCAACACAACTGCATCTTTAAAAACTATAAAAGTAGAACAAGGCCTCACAATTTCCAGGAACTGACGAGCTAAAACATTCATCTCGGACTCAGTCTGTGCCTAAATGTGTTGATGTTGTTTGACTAGAGATGGAAAATACTAGGAAGCAAGATTAGAGAGATAATTGGTGTATATTTTTAAAAAAAATTCTGATGAATTCCAAACGAGTATATAAGGGAAAGGTGTGCTGGTTAAAGTGTTAGCACATTAAGGCACCAGGGCGTCAAACTGATGCCCTTTTGGCTGAAACATAAACACCGATCGATTGAGTCATGTTGACTATTGAGTAGATTGATGAGCCGTTAATAAATGCAGGCTACCAGAATTTGCCCATAAAGCAAAAGTGAGTACAGTGGAGTCAAGTTGAGTAGTAACGGAAGAGGAAATTAGGCTGCTTCCATCTAACCACAAAGGACGGAAGATTTTTACTACCTGGCAAAAACTCTGTCCTTGATCCCTTTCTCCTTTCCATACTGCACAGATTGCACTTCTGTCCTCCCACTAAAGAGAAAAACAAGGAAAACAACAGTTAATAAAGTGATTTAAGTACTTAATATGGATATTGTTCACTTTTCCCACAGTGAAATTTAAGCACTTTTCAAGCATTTTCAAGGTAACTTATGAAACTTTTGCAGTACCACAATATGGAGTTAAAAACAATAAAAAAGATCATAAAAAAGACATAATTTATTGCTGTTATCAGTAATGTGGTTTTATTGTGCAGCTAAAATAAAACAACACTTAACTGTTTCAAGAAAAAAAAAAAAAACACCCCAATTTTAGTAAAGTTGTTTTAACATATAAATTATAAGCCAACTGTTATTTTAATTACATAGATTAAGTCACTGAGCCATTAGGACTAATACATATTAATTATATTGAAACAATCCAAATAAAGCATGTGAAGGTAAACGACCTTCTTGCTCAAATTAAATGTTTAAACACAACATACAAAGAAAATTACAAAAAAAATCTCTAAAAACCTTTCTCTTACAATTTTCTGGCATTTAACAGAAAATATTTTTAGTAATTCTAACCCAAAAGTAGAAAAGAGTGATCTGATTTAACTTCAGACAGTGGAAAAAAATGAGTCTGTATCTTTTTATTTTGTGTTAAAAAAAATCTGCTTAGAACTGCAAATGTTTTTTTCCAAATTTAGGCTTTTAATCAAGTTTCAGATTGAACATTGTTACAAAACTGTGCACTTTCTATGACTTCATACACAAATCCAGGCCCTATCACCCATTGAAAGCATTTTCAAGTCATTTCATTGAAAGGATTTCAAGTACCCAGTTCCTCTTAGGAACTGTTTAACAAGGTTAAGAACTATAAAAACAAAAGATAATTTAGTTTTGCAAGTCCTATCTCCTCAGTTTTAAAAATCTGTATTAAACCAAAGTCACATCATAACTGCAACACAGAAGTGATTCCAAAAATGATATTTATAGGAAAGTGTGGAGATATCTCGAGGGCAAAAACACATTTGAGCCAAACATCAGACAAGGCTCGCTCACGTTGCATCACTGCTACTCAATAATACATCACAAGCCTCCCTTCATTTTTCACAGCCGCCTTTCATAGAAAAGGGAACTGAAAAAGGTTAGCTGTGAAATGAAACGGAGTTCGCATGGGGTGAATTTACTGTGTGGATAAAAGACACATTTCTAATGAATTCTATCTGAAGGGAGCAGAGCATCATTGTTAGTCTGTAAACTTTATGACAGGTCAAACTATTTAAAGAAAATGGAGAACAATGTCTGGACCAAAGAGAAACGACAGGGGAAAAATTGCTCCTCTGGGAGAACATGTTGGGATGATCTTCTTACCAGTATCTGAACTTTGAGCCCAGGCTGAAGTAGTGAGCGAAGAAGTTTTTCTGTGGGGGTATGGGCCGCTCCAGCCTGAAAAAGGTGTGGTGCTCCACACAGGCTTTCCACAGGTTCTTACAGGCCCGGTAGTTGACCATGTTGAAGCCCAGCAGTGTCTCCCGAGTCTCTGCCTGCATGCAGGAAGAAACACAGCAGCTTATGGAGGGCTGAGTCAGATGAAGGGATGGACGACCGAACAAAAGCCAGATGGATGAGTGGAGCAGCAAAAAAGCCAAACAGATTCATTCATTCATTCATTCATTCATTCATTCATTCATGGATGGATGGATGGATGGATGGATGGATGGATGGATGGATGGATGGATGGATGGACGGACGGACGGATGGATGACGAATAGATGATGGATGCAAGATGGATGCAAGATGGATGCATGCATAAACTAACAAATAATCAAACGGATGGCCAGATGGATGTATGATGGATGATGGATGCCTAATGAATGGACGACTACTTGGTTTGGATGGATGGATAGATAATGGGACAAAGTCAGAAATTCCAAATACTTTTCATCCTCCATTTTAGTCCCCAGAAAAAACTTAAAACAAATTCTACACACTTCCAAACTGCATATTAACTTTCTTATGAAAACCATACCTCATGAATATCTAATAAAAGTTATCTGAACAGATTTTCTTTTTAAAGTTCAGACGCTTCCAAGGCAACATCAGACTTGGACAGACAGAGAAACCAGTGGCAGAACAGTAAACACTACAACATTAGCAGTTAGCAGCACATGGCGTTTCATTTTTTTCTAATCTTAACCTGTAATTTCTCCAACTCCAGATAACAGCCTGAAAGGCAACATGTGCAAAAGACTTTTAATCTTTTTCTTCAGCTGTGCTAAGGCTAGTTTTTGTTGTCCAACTCTACTCTTATATATCGTCCATATTTGGAAGCACAAAGGCATAAAGCATTGCTCTTTATAGCTTGTCACATCACAACACTTTTAAACTGCTTTAAAAATATTTAGAGTTATTTATGTTGCTAAACTTAAGCTTTGTAAGTGTTCAGCCACCAAAAAATTATAAAAAAATGCTCTTTTAACAAAGAAATGGTTTAAAAAACAAGAAAAATAGTTGTACAGTGACAAAATGCTGAAAGAAAACAAAGAGACTCAAATGTGAAACAAAGGATTTACGCAGGGGATTAATGCATGTTCAGACAAAGTCAGCAGGGGGTTAATCTGACACCTGATTACACAAACGGATACAGACGCAGCACAGCTGAAATGCTGCACCTTTACAAAGGTAGGTTCATACAACTGACCCAATAAAAAGCAGTGTCTGAACTCCAGCTGTTTCATTACTGAGGAGTGGGTGGGAAAAGTCAGTCTAGAGGTGTGTATGTGTTTGTGTGAGGGCGTGAGCATGTTTGTGTGTGTGTGTACACCCACCGCCTCTCTTCTCAGCTGGATGAAAAACTGTTTGCACTTGAAGGAGATTTTCACTATTTTCAACCTAGAAGTTGCAAAAGGGAACAATATGAAGTCAGTTGTTGCCTTTTATCACATAAATGTCACATTTTTAAACCTGGCAAAAATACCTCTGCAGCAATACAGAACTGTGTGGCAATAAATGTCTGATCTTGTTTGTACTTACCCTTTATGGAATCTAAATAGATATAGATAAAAACTTAAATGAATGGATCTACTCTTAAACATCTGACCCAAAAAATTCTAAGTTTCTGAAATCTGAACTTTGACTTCCCTGCTGCAAACACTTTTCTGAAAGCTTTCAACAAGATATAGAAGTGTGTTCATTTGTGAGGTCAGACACTGATGTTGGACGAGAAGGCCTGCCTCGTTGTCTTCGTTCTAACTTATTCCAAACATGCTCCATCAGGTAGGGATCAGACCTACCAAGTTATTTCACACCAAACTCCCTCATTCAGGTGATTGTGGACCATACAGTGGTGCATAGTCATGCTGAAACAACAGGAGATAAATCCCTAACCCACATGGTTGACAGTATGAAATTACCCCAAATGACTTGGTATGATGAAATACAAGAGTTTATTTTGTTAAAACCATAATTCTCTCGGCACCAGACATTACACCATCCTTTTGGCAGCTCCCAAATCCAAACTCACCCACTGAGATGCAAGACAGAGAGGTACGATTCGTCACTCCAAAGAGCATGTCTCTGTAGCTCAGAGTGTAGTGGTGGAGTAATATATGGAAATATTACTTCCCATAAATATTTCCATTATTTATGGAAATATATACTTTCCATAAATATGGAAAGTAATATAATAGAACAATACTGTTCTGGTCATCTCTAATCTGAAAGCCACATGAAGCATGGAGAGTTGTGGGTACTGTTTCACCTCAGCATCCACTGACTGCCCCCAATAGAAGGAAGACCAAGGCAAGACAAGAAAAACAGTAATATAGATACCATCCGTCAAATTTTAATTAACAAGTTGATGGATTAAAAGACTCCAATAAATAATTGAACCCTACCACTCTTATTGCCCTTATCTTCCTTTTTGCATCATCAATTTTCCATTCGCTCTGTTTCAGTTGGTTAATTCATGGGTGTAGTGAAAGTCTGATGGGAAATTGGTGGTGTGAAAAGGTCAGGCGATAAAGTGTTTGGTTCAAAATGACGAGTACAAGGACCGTGATAATGGGGTTGATAAGGGTGATAAGGGAGTGGGGCTTAATCTATGGTGTACGATAAGGGTTATAAGGGGGTTGATTAGGGTGATAAGGGGGTTGAATTTGCATGATTAGGGGTGGGGCTCAATATCACAACTACAATAATTTGGATAAGGAGGCCAGTAAGGGTGATAAGGGGTCGGTTTCAATATGTGCAGTATGATAAGGGTGATAAGAGTGATAGGGGTTCAGGGTTTAATCTGTGGAGCATAATAAGGGTATTTGGGGTTTAATCTGGACTGTACAATAAGGGCAATAGGTGCTGCATTTCAATAATTTATCTGGGTAATGTCATCTTGTCAATTAAAACTTGACAGATGGTATTAGGTTTCTGCAAGGCAAAGCAAGGTTGAAAAAATAAAGTGAATAAAGACCCAACTTTAAAGCCCAGTGAAAAAAGCCCAGACTTATCCAGTACTTTCTATGCTTACTTCACCAAGAAAATCCTAAAATCAATTTTATTACGCCCTCACAGTGTGTAAGAATCCCGTGACTTCCTCTGCGATCTCTCCCCATGTTCTCAGACCTCAGAGTGCCTACTTTGCAAGTGACATGGAGAAAGGTTTGAGGAAAACCTCACAGCACAGTTTTCTCAGAGATTGCGGCTGTTCCACAAAACCAAACACAGAAACAGCCAGTGAACAGAATAAAGTCTGGTTATTGTGAAACATAGTTGTAATAATAACTTCTTGCAATTTTATGCATAAGTCATGTTTTATAACAAAGACGAGAACTATTGTGTCATGTTACACAGCCATAATGTTCATATGAATTCCTGCCTTCCTCTGTAGCTGCAGGGTTAGAAGCTTATCAGAGCAGAGGAGTCTCGAAACGGTACGACGGCACGTATTTTCCAATCTCACGTAGCAGCGAGGGCATAAATTATGCTAAAATCGGAGGACCACACGCGAGGCAGCAGTAAGACGGCTGCTGATGAGCGGCAGCAGCAGAGTAACATAATCCCTTCCCAGAGTTCTGCTGCTGCTGCTTCTGCTGCTGTGACTCATCGCTCTCTGCTAAATATATTTTACACACTCACTCGCACACGCACACTTGCATTGGCAACAACAGCACACACACTTAAGCAGAGCGTGAGTCATGCCCCATCCAAGTGTGTCTCATTTGTCAGGCTGTTGCAAACAGAAACGGGAAACAGGCAAAAATCTAAATGTCTCTCTGCTGCCGTCTTGCTCCCTATTTTTACCCTCAACTTTTAAACGGAAAGGAAAGACATTTAAAAAATAAAGAAGAGACAGGACGTTAGCAGTGAGCTAATAAGAGGGTAAAGAAAGACAATGAGTTCCAGAAAGTCAGTCAGAGTAAAGCTGAGAGACAGTGACTGCTATTATGGTTCGCTGTTCCTGTCTTAAGGACACGGTGCTGAACAGCTGCTGAGGACGCCACTGCTGGTCTCTAAATTTAACTCATCTGGGGGGATAAACTCAGGAGGCCTCGGCTTTGGTTTAAACCTTTTGCATTTAAATGTCGTCGCTACGATAAAACAGAAATGCTGAAATTAGAATACAGGTGCATCGCAATTTACACTGCCATTGAATCGCTGATTTATTTTGGCAATTCAATTCAAAATGTGAAACTTATAGTGTTATAGATTCATGAATTTATTTCTGTTACGGTTATGGTTCAGTTCAGAAAAAATGGTTTTAAATATAGACTTCTTCTCTTATGGACTACACTATTTTGGAGATGGCTGCTGACTTCAGTCAATGACGCCCGCCGCATAGTCACAAAAAGTCATCGCTAATGAAGATTAGCAGCAGAAGTGAGCCAGTGGTGCAGACGAATGTCATCCAGCCAAATTTATAATTACCCATGACGGACACAAAAAACACGTGAGCTAGCTAGCTAGCAAGGGTATAGCAGCTTTAAATGTCTGAAGTCGTAGAATAGAATGAAGACGTCTGAGTGTGACTCAAACTTTTGCCTCACAAAAAAAAAAAAGATTACACATAGTGAGAGGTAAAACAATCTTTCCATGACAAAATTTAAGCCCTGTGATTAACGTATTTAAGACTAACTTAAATTTTTTAAAACTGAATTTAAGAAATATTAAATTCTTAATTTTAGATACATGAATTTAAGACTTTTTAAGGATGCACAGGCACCCTGGCAAAGTTGAGTAGAAGGAAAAAGAATGGTAGAAACAGATGCACGAGAAACACTATTAACGACAGTCTTGAGAGAATTCTGAAGAAATTTTGAAGGAGAATCGCTTTAGGTGAAGTCGGCCAAACGCAGATAAATCCAGGAAATTGGCCACAGCAGTTTCTTAGAAAAATTAAAGAAAAAACATAAGGAGAGGGAAATAACATTTCGCCATAGATAGCACCGTCAAGAGGAAGATGTGTCTGCAATTCATTTGAAACCCTGCTGTTACAACATAGGCTGATATGCTCCATACTACGCCACATTAATGCACAAATCCATGCAAAAGTAGCGCCAAACACCTATTAAGTGTGTACAGGCTGACAGTTTCATATCATAAATCATTTTTTATTTGTGTAAACCTCTGAGATGCAAAACTTGGACTATAATGATCAAATTTAACAAAATGAAATGCTTGAAACATAACATTTTCTGTGCAACAAATTATTAAGATATGACAGTTTCACCTTCTCGACTGAAACTTTTCAATGATATAATACAACTCATTCATAGACACAGGAGTTTGCATAATCTTTCAGAGTGAATAATGTTTCTCTTTTATCCTCTGCACACAGTAACATCTACTCTCTTCAAAATGCATCAGCAGATTTCCAAGTACTGATTCACCAGAGAACAAGACACAACGAGTGATAAGAGGAACTAACAGCAGAAAAGAGGTCAGTGAGAGCAAACAGATTTGATGGCTGTAATGTTTCCAGGAAGCACAGTTTAACACCAGGACACTGCTACAAATAAAAAAAAATACATACAAAGTTGGACTGAAGTGCATTATTCTGCAAAAGTTCAAGAGAGGCTTAGATATAAACATGCACTGTCAATAATCACTTTGTGAGAGATTTTGAAATACTATGCCAGCCAGTTCTCTGTAAAACTCTCTCTGGACGCAGCTCAACTGAGGCTGGCAGCAGGCCGATTAGAGCAGGTTTGTAACAAGGACATCCACAGTTTCAACTTCCACTTCAGTGGAAATGACAAAGAACATAAATATCAACAAAGAACACTTGTTTCAACAGCGAAAGAGCTTCTCAGCTGTGTTTCCTGTCCACACAAATCCACTCACTTCCACCTGATAGCTGCCAGGTTTTCTGCTGGCCAAAGAGGACACACGCTTTGAAGCACTTGGCTTTGGACAAGCGGGATATTGGCCTCCGAGCGGTTGGAATTGAAATCTCTGATCATAAAACTTCTGAACAGTGTCTCTGTAACATATGTTTGCTTTCAGGTACAGAAGCTAGTTGGAAAAAAAAAAAAAGAGAGTTAAAACGGGGATTAGTAGCTCTTCTTCCTGATTACACACCTACCAAAAAATCTAGGATCAGTCTAATTAGTCGCTTTGCTAAACAGATGCAAGTCAAAGAAATTATCTTTTTTTTGTTGTTGTTTTGGCTTTGCTCAGCTGATTCTTATTTAACCAGCTTCAATTTCACTTTTTAAGAATATTATCTTAATTGGTAATTAAGAGTAGCCTGTTAGGATGTTTGAATAGTAGGAACATTATTTGGTTAGAATATCTACTAGCAGTCTCCTTTTGTGTCTCCTGGAGTTTAGAAATCTTTATTTCAGATTCTCTAAAGACTGCCAACATTTCCAAATCCAGCATGTTTCTTGACAGACGGGATAAATGATCGGCTCCTTCAAGATTTCAAAGGGACCTTAGGAGGGTGTGACGTGACGGGCGGTTTTTTTTATGAATCCATAATAGTCAGACATGAAGAACAACATGGTAGGCAGTGAAATAAACCAGGATTTTGTGAGTCTAGCTCTGCCACCTGAATGAATGGATGGATGCCTCTGTAGAAAAACAGGGTTACTTTCTAAGCTCCCATGTTTTGTGCTCCTCACCTAAGAAGCAGTAAAACTATCCAAGATTGAATCTTCTCTCACACTTAGCATTTAGGCATTGCAGATAAATTCATGACAAAAATCCAGGCATCGAGATCATCGGTTAGAGATGAGCAAGTTGAAAAATGTACAATTTGTCACTTTATAACCGGCAGGTTATAAAGAAAACCCAACAAAGAATCTTATTACAAGCAGAAGAGAAAAGAGCAATTAAGTTGTTTTTTTTTTTTCAAAGAAACAGCAATTGTTTCCATACTTTGAATAGTTTATCTCTCAGTTACCACAAAGATACAAAAACTGCACTGAGAAACACCTTATCCTCTCTTTTTTGCTTATTTTCTCCTCCTCTGAGCAGACTATAAACCAGCATGTCATCACCCTCTGTGGGGTTGCAGTGAAACGCTGTGGTCCAACTGACCCAAATGTAACATGAAAACATGTCATCTGGATCCAAACAGAAATGCATCTAAGTTGTGCACAACAACATCTGATATGAATGTTATGAATGTGCCTCATTGATGATTATAGAAGTTTAACTGGGAGAAGGCTGTGGCACTTAAAGCCGCTTAATTTAGTGAATATTTCAGTGTTGCTCGGTGGTTTTTCATTTTAAAATCTGATGCTTTCTAGATTCAAATTTCCAACTTCATTTTTGTTCATTTTTAACATCCAAATACAAATTTTACAGCAGACGCTTCCAGTAGTCAGCTTTAATTATACACCGTCTGCATTAAAGTAGTCGGTCACACCCGCTAAGTTCTGCTGACTTCAGGCGTTTCGCTCAGACCCATTGCCACAACTGTGTGAAATCATAATCACGTTCTGCTTCCAGATTTCTGATGACCCAATGAGAATGTGAAGAATGTAAAGACAACGCTTTGATAGGTCCAGTGTGGCGCACACCGAGCCTTGACCTCGACCTCAGCCAGGAGCTTTGGAATGAACAGCGAGCCAGACCTTCTCATCTCTAAATGACCTCATGAAGACTCAACAGCATAAACAGGAAACATGTTGATGCTCCAAAATCCTGTGAAGAGCTCTAACACTGGAGGAAAGATATGTATCTAGATGGAAAGTTGTGGGGATTTGCACCCTGATAAAGTAACGAATATTAAACACAAAATAACTAGTGTTTCATTTTTAAGTGACTTATTTTTTCTTTAACGTCTTCAGTGTTTACTGTTTCATACAATGGAGTGCTAGGGCCAGACTAATTTTTTCTTTTCTTTTTTGGAGCCCCGTTTCAAAGTCCTGTTACTGATGCTAATTTGATGCTGATGTGTTGAAAGATTTGTAAAACTCATACCAATGAATAACTTCACAAGATGCTCAACATTCCTCATTTAAAAGTTTTAGTATTTTTTTGTGTTTTAGTTTTCATAAAATGACGACTTCAATCTAGAAATGTAACGACGTTGATCTGGTAATATGATATACTATATTCTCGTTTCATTATGACTTTTTTCTGGTATTATGACTTTATATCAATCATCATTATTTTTTTTTCTTGTATTATGACTTTGTCTTCAAATATGACTTTGCTCCCATTATAGTTTCATTTAATTCTCTTAATTCTTTTTCTCATAAGATTGGGACGTTTCATGTTTTTTGTTCTTAGTCTGGCCCTAATAATCCGTCGGAGTTTTCTATGTGTTTGGAAGCTAAATAAATATGCTGGACATGTAAAAACATATAAATAAACTCACATCAATGTCACTGTGGTATGTAACTTCACAGGCATGTGTTCAGTTGGTGTTTGTTCACTCACCATGGGAAGTAGTTGATCCGTACCCTGTTCTTGTAAACCACAATGCCAGCGGACATCACCCCAATCAGAATCTCTGCATTGCTCTGGTCCTAAACAGAGAGGAAGAGGCAACATTTGCATGATGAAGAGAGAGAATAATAAAACCAGAGTTGAACCAGAGAAAATATATATGTATTTTTTTATGTCAAATTTCGATTTACACCATCTATGTTCAAACTCACGGGTCAACTTTTCCAAATCATTTGAAGATGCAAATGCAGATTTATTATTTATTTTTAAAAATTTGGAAAACCATGTACAATTTGATTTTCATTTCACAATTACAGCACGATAAATGCGAAAAAGTTCAATGGTATTCATCGACTGAATCTACACATTTACCCAGAACAGAAAACACATAAAAAACTAACAAAGAGAAAGAAACCTGATGGTTTCGACTCAAAGGTAATGAAAAGGTTTGCAAACAGAACGAATGAAAGCACTCCTGATAGCTTTCAGAGCCCCAAGGGATGGCTAGCCAAAAGTGGATCCCATTAGCTCACTTGCTTTCAGCTAAGGCTTAAAAACTAAGACTAAAACCTGTATTTTTAAAATATGTTATATTTAGAGTTTTTGGAAATCAGAAGAGACGGACTCAAAACAAAGAAAGCTGCATCAGCTCTATAGAAAGGAAATCCCAGACAAATAAACCACTGATTTTGTGGTTTTACGGAAGATTATTAAGATGGGAGAAACTACTTTAGCTAAACATTCTTGATACGGACGAAACTCCACATGTAGTCAGATCAGTTATCATGGATAACACAAGTGGTGCAAATGACTCCTACTAAAAATGAAATTAATCTCTGGTGTTTCTCCTACTAAATGAGGAAAGAGGCTCATTTGATTCAATTTTTAAGATGGATGCTATGATCAAGTGCTCTTGTGAGCACTTGATCATATTTTTTTTATCTCAGCACTGTTCAGCTGAATCCATACAGTTTACCCAACAGCTTATCTCTTCATATTTCCACCCCATCATGACATTATGGCTGATGGTACATTGTTCTAATTTCCGTCATGTGGATTCTCTCTATAGGATGAGCAGGAAATGACAAGATGAAAGCACCATTCATCCTTAGAGTGAGGGTTGCATAACAAATCTTTAATCTTTTTTTCTATTTATCTTTCTACATCTATCCAGCGGATGTGAAAAGAACGACGGTTTCAGGATTCTGCTTTTAAGATGAGAAGGTATCAATGTAAACAATGAAACTAATGGTTTCATTTCCAGTTGCACAGCTGCTCGCCTCTGCAACTGGTGGCAGCGTTCAAGCTACACAAATCTTATGTTTCCATAAGCATAAAGAAACACACGCAGGAAATAACAGACATGGAATTAAACCTTACTCACCCTTGCATAGTGCAGCTCCACCCCGTAGAGCTCTAGCGAGCGTGCTGTGTTCAGATAATTAAACTCCGACTGGGCAGGAGACAGACCGCTGAGGGAGGGAGGAGGGGACGGAGACAGATGGGGACGAGAGCGTGGCGGTGAGTGCAACGGGAGCGTCGATGACAGGGTGGCAGAGAGGGAGAAGGAGACAAAAGAAAAATAAATCGTCAGCCACAGATGAATTGAAGTAATTGCAAGAAAAGGGGTCAAGTAAAGGGCAACACAAAAGGTGTGCTGGTGTGTGAATCTGTGTATGTCGGAACAGACTGGGTAAGCTACTGTAGGTGTGGATGTCTCTAAAGATTACCAGCGGATCAAAATGTGATGCACATGAAGGGGGGAAATTATTTATGGCTGATCTGTTTATTACACACATTTTAAAATTCCAGTCAAATTTCAAGAGCATCCATCCATGCATGCATGCATGGATGGATGAGCATATTTTTGCACAGATGAATGAATGGAAATATTTGTCAATACTCCAATCTTTTCTCCAGAACTGTGAAATAATAAATTAAAAAAATTTAAGACATATCAATGTAACATAGAGACTTTAATCTAATCTGGATTTGAAAATGCTTCTGTCCCACCACAGAGTCTGCTCCCACCGTCTCTCCCCGTTTACACATAATCCGGTCTGAGTGGCGGCCAGCAGCCCTGCAGCGAGCGGCTCGGCGTACCTGTGCTGCTGGTGATGTTTGGAGACCTCTTTGTGGAAGTCTTGTGGGGGGTTTGGGATGAAGCAGAATTCAGACAGGTAGCCGGAAGAATGCTCCGCTTCATTGTAGTCCCCCAACTCGGCTACAGGAAGAGAGAGGGGGAAAAAAGACCAATATGTGACTTCAATAAAACAAAACCAGAATGACTACTGACAAATGATCTTCATTTTATATGCTAGTTGGAAAATTGCTGGTTCATTTCCTCTGGAAAAACATTGCCTAATTTTAGTCTATAAGTCAAAGCAGTTTCCCTTTTCCTTTTATATGATGGCACTACTTCAATAATCAAACATGCACGAAGGGATTTCCACTCCAAATAAGTTTTTATTTTTAAAACTTTACCAATACAGTGACTTATAAACTTGTTTCAAACCTGATCTGCTGTGGTTGAATAATGATTAGCTCCAAGATGTTACAACCACTGTACCTCATCATGTTCCACATTTTGTTATTACTGATAAGAAAACATAAATCTGATAGAAAAATCATGATTTAAGTTCCGTTTTATATTATTTTCAACTGAAAATACATCAAAACTATATGTCAACTAATAAAAACCAAAACAAACTGACTGGCCGGCACCTTATTTGTTGAAAAACAACCCTTTAATCTTTGATGTCTGCTTAAAGTGAAGCAATTTCAGCCAGAGAACAGTATAACAACCATTGCTACAGTATTTTTAAAATTTTAACATCAGCACCAAACCACAGCTGAACTTAGTTACAACATCTGGGAATCTTTCTGTAATCCACTCTGTGGTGTCAGCAGTTTACACAGAAACAGTGCGCAGATAACGATGAAGTCCTTTTATACCTTCAGCCCACATTTTCTGAGAATACGGCCTGCACTATCAAAGAGGGAACTGCATGTGTCATTAAAGCCACAATGTAAGTATGATTAGGGCAGTGTGATGCGACAGCATCAATGATTAAAATGTTATCCGGCTATGATCAAACGCTTTTGAACTTTCATGTGAATCTGCCCTAGAGCGTAACAGGGGTGTTCAAAATGTGGCCTGTGGGCCATTTTTCGTCCTTGAACAGTTTTTGTTTGGCCCCTGACTGCAAGTCAAAACTAGTCAAAATTTGGCCAAGAAAACAGAAAACAATTCATGACCCAGAAATTTTGGAAATCGTCTGTTTTTGTTTTAAAAAGGCAACAGTCCTGAATCTTGTTTTTTGTTTTAGATCTTTAATCATAAACAGATTTCATTAAAAAATTTGTTCACTGTTTAACGGGTTAAACTAAAAAGAAGAAAAAAAAAAATCACAAGCTAATTTTTAAATTAATGCATTTTGTGGCCTGCCACTAGTTTTGGTCCATTTTGGACTGTGGTAATCTAAGACCCACACATGTAACAAAAAGTCATTAGGAGCCATTTCTAAACAACTAGAAATTCCCCAATCGTTAGTCGAAACAATTAGACATTTCATTACTTTGTGAACTTCAGCAGTTAAAATTACACAGTTTTCTGTGTAATTTTAAAGTTACACAATTACAATTAAAGTCCCTAAAGACCTCATAATGCGGTCTAATGCATTGTCTTTCCTCTCAACAAACTAATGGGAATGCACTTCTATGTGCGTACAATGTATTTTACAACATAACAGGCATCGGCGGAAGAATTTAGACCTGCCTTTATTGTTTTGGGACTTTCTTTTTAATAAAATAATTTTATTAAAGAAACACAATTTAACTGTCTCAGACAAATAGAAGGAAACCCGACGGTTCCAACTCGAAAGCAATGAAAAGGTTTGTGGGCAACAAACGGAACGAATTAAAAGACTCCTGATAGCTTTCAGAGCCCTCGGGGTTTACTAGCCAAAAGCGGATCCCATTAGCTCACTTGCTTTCAGCTGAAGCTTAAAAACATCAATTCGTTCAAGTAGTCCCTTGACTGACCTGCAGGCCCGTAGCCTAAGCATATTGACCAACAAATCAATGGCAGCTCAGACGCTCATTGATGCGTACACACCACTAGGGCTCTGCACAGTTCAGAGCCAACATTAAAACACCTAACAGGTGAGGAGAAGAACACTGTGGTCATGACGGCATCTGCCAAAAGACTTGGATTCAAGATGCGAGTTCCTTATTAGGTTTTTTTCTTGTTGTTTGAGTTGTAAAGTTTGTTGTTTTTTTTTAAATGAAAGGAGCTGGTGAAAGTTTAAGGCTACTTGCAAAGACAGGAAAAAGCTAAAAGAAAAAACAAATGCAAAAGAAGAAAAAATTAAGATAATTGAGGAATTGGCTTGTAACAAGAATCAGTTATTTTCCAGTAGCTGCTGAATACTCTCAGTCTGTTTTAATGTTTTTTTTCTTTAAATGTGAGCAGATGTAAGTGGGAGTACGGATGTTACGAGTGACTTTATAGGAGTTGTTTGCATGCTGATGGATTGTATAACTCATACTGTTTCAGTTATGAATTATATTTATTGAATAGTGTCCAGCTGTTTTTATGCATTCTCTTCTTATATAAAAAAATTACCAGCTGAGTAAGGGCCTACAGCTGGAAATTAGCACCAGAGATACAACTTGATACGATGCATCTTTCCTCTGAGGTTAATGTCTACTGTACATTGTCTCTGTTTTAGATAAATAAATCATAAAATTTAAAAACAAACAGCCCATCAACAGCATTTCTGCGATTCATTCCAGTTGAGAGAGGGAGACTGCAAACTACAGTAAAGTTGTTCTTTATTCATTCGAGGTTAAAACTTATGTCTACAATTGTTAATTTTAAAACTTTTTTTGAATACATATTTTATTTTGCAAATTTTTAAAATGTAAATACAAAAATTCACCATAAAGACATTGCACATATTTCTACTTTGGCCCGACTTTATATATGAAATTAGCAAAAGAACAGAATGAATGATATATGAAAATCAACTAAAGTCGATACTTGAAGGTCTAAATGTTTAAAATCTTAAGTCAGAAATTGAAAAACAGGAATTCTGAATTTTGCACATATGAAAATAAATCAAAGTCAAATTTTGCATGCATCAGTAAGTATATGCAGAATTCAAGTACATTCTATCTGCTTCAACCACTGTTAGAATAAACCGGACAGTGAACCCAACGAAAACAGCCGTTTCAAGTTTAAGCTTGAAATAAAATACAGAAACAGGAAGGGATAAAACACAGCTAACCCGTATTTTATTCCCCTTCACCAAGATATTTACAATGTTGAGGGAAGGGGTACTTTTTTCTGCAGCTTTTCAGTCAATCATAAAACAGGAATTTAGGGCTACCAGGAGGGATTTCAGATCTTTTGAGAATGCAGGCTTGAGTGTGGGATTTGGAGTCAGCAGAGCTGGCAGTCGAGCTGAATTAGCAGCATAGCAGCTGCTTCAAGCCATTTTTTTCCCTCCCCAAAGCAAACATTTATCTCCATAATCTGTGCTGGCACTGTGAAGAGTGACAGCATGGACCCAGCAACACAGTATGTGTGTGTCAGTGTAAAAGCCGTAGGGTCAGAGCCACGAAGGTCTAGGTCAAATCTCTTGTTTGACCTATATACCGAGGCTGTGCAGATTCCTGGCTAAATATGCCATAAAGGGGGGAGCAGAGGGACTGGAGGGGGGAGGAGTTACTGGTGCTGAAATGACAAATGAAACATGGCAGCAGGCAAAAGGCATCAATACAATAAGTAAGAATTTAAGAAATGTGTTGGGATTCAATAAGATTAGCTCCTAAAATCTATTGGTACAAACTAATCTCTAGTTTCACACCGACATTCCCAATAATAAGATAACAACAATGTGAACAGGCTTCTTAAAGAGATGCATTTATGTCATTTTAAACATTTGTGAGCTACTGAAAACTACTCAAAATCTTTTTTTTTTTCTTTTTTTTTTTGGGAGGGGGGGGGGGAAAAATAGTAAATATGGTAAATATGATAAACTGTGAAATCAAAGAAAAATGTTGGAGTGGTCCCTGAATTTTGTCTCCATCCCAGGACTAGCTTTTTCAGACACATACTGTACAGTTAAGCTCAAAATTATTCATTATTTGGGTTTAGAGGAATCTACGTTTCTTCTGACTGGAAGTAATATTAACATTTTGGAGTGGTACAGCCAGTCTTCAATCTGACAGAGAAACTACGGAGGCAGCTAAACATTAGGGTGATGGCAAGGAGACCTTCCAACACGGAGCTCATTGCCAAAGATAAATAAATGTTAGAGAGTCAAAGTTGTAATTTATCTGTTCTGGCTGTTTATCAAAAAGCAAGAAGAAATGCACATTAAGCTGGAAATATGAAGAGATATTGAGCATCAACTCAGCAGTTAGCCAAACTACTCACCTATCAATCTGCTTCTGTACATTGATCTATTATTAAAGGTCGACTTTAGAGAAAACCAGCATCGCATGCAATGTAACCAGTGGTAATATAGAAACCCATCTCACCACATGGTTTTAAAGAAAATCTCCATGGCTTCCAGAGCAGCAGTTGTAAAAGCACTCCAGCAACCACAGTCATTACATTTAACAGTGTGTGTAGCTAAGGAGAGCCCTAATGAATCGCCTTTTCATTGTTACATGTAATGGGTGTACCCAGGGAGCAATGCTTACACTGAACAGCATAGGATGCCAGCAGCGCAGCTGTGTTGTGAGGACAGGGCAATCTGAAAATAGAAAGAAAAATAAAACACATTAACTCAAACGCACAAAACTTCAAAGGTTTCTGCACTGGATAATATTTAAGATGTGGCTGTTTTCAGAGAACATAATATTAGGATTTGATAACTAGAATTCAAAAATGTTTAAAAAAGGAAAACTAATTAGCACGCTGTGCATGAAGCCAGAGGTTCACTCCCATAAAGCCACAGTTCATGACTCATCCCACTTTTATAATAAAACAACAGATTCCTAAAGTACGACATGCTCACCTTCCAGTTAATATATCCTGCTTGATCTGAAGGAAATATTGGTACCTTATGGGGGAAAAACACAACATAATGACAACAGATGAGCAAACTGTCCAGTTGGTTTTGAAAATTAGACATAATGGGCAGTCAATGCATTCCAGAAAGGCTGCATTTTGATTATTAACCACAATAAACTAAGGAAACATTTTTTTCTTTACCTGAGGAACTGTACGAGAACTACTCTAAAACTGTATGTAAAGCCGACAAGTGGCAAATATTTTACATTTGAACTGTTCTGAGAATTCATATCTTCTCTGGTGTCACAATGAAATGCCTTTATGTGCAATACGGAAGTGTGTGCGCTTTTCCCTCGCTGACAATTTTAGATCACAAAGGATTCAGAATATGCAAAAGCAGAGATTGTGGGATCATCTATTCTTTTATTTATGTGTCACAGTTCTATGCTTCTACTCAAATGCACCAGTTCCATTTTCCCCCTTCAGCTTCATAAAAATGCTAATGTTAGCTATGCATGAGCTGTTACTGATTTTATTGATGAACATAGTAAAAACTTAACAAGCATTACCATTTTCAAGTAAAATCAATACTAAAACTGTCTTTATTTTCCAAATTATTAGAGCACCAAGAGTTAAATGTAACTGTATGCTCAACTTTTTAATCACATTAGGATAGATGCTGAAGTTAACATTTAGCTGTTTTGGGTTTGCCTTCTTGGAAATCCAGTATTGTAACAGAAGATTTTAGGTTTAACATAAAGTATGTGTCTTCTATTTACTGAGCTTTTGCTTCCATTTTAATTTCATAAAAACTCCAGCAAAAGCAACACTAGCAGCAGTTTTACTAAAAAGCAAATGTGGTTCAAGCCATATATTAAACTTGTATCTGTATCACATATTTTTACAAAGTGTGACATATTTGTAGTTCTTGATGGTGTAAATATGCCTTTTTTAAAAGTCCTGTCATATTTTGTATTTGCGTGATTTATAAACATCTTCTCTGCAAAAATCGGGTTATTGCTATGTTGCATAAAAAATGCATGCTTAATTATTTAGCAGATACAAATATAGAATGTACTTTTTGTTGCCTGAGAGAGTTTTCAACTTGATAAGTCTCTTCACGTGGCAAAGAGTGTGGACGCCTCTTTAATGTGGATATATTAGTTTGTATCTTAAAGTGAAGTTGTAAAGATGTGGATCTTTACATATCTAGGTGCTGCTAGAAAGCGTTTAAATCAAATACCTAAAACTCAAACGCCTAAAAGTAGCTTTACTTTGCATCCTGCTAAAATTAAAAAAAGAAATAAGAAAAACATGAACTCTGTCTCAAATTCCAGTTAATAATGTGGATGAAACGATGTAAAACCTGTAACATAATGACGCTGTGGTGATGATGTCCGGACTTACCGTGTGTATTCTTCCTGAAGTTTACTCGGATCAGTCACAAAGAATTTGACTCTGAAGCTCAGGTTATGTGGAGACCCTCCTGAAGGAAGTCAGGAGAAACATCAAGCATTTCAATTATATCAATATCTCATGCATGTATGCCAATTATACAATTGACATTTTCTCCACATCATTTTTCATTCACAAAACTCTGCACAAAGAAAAAGCGGTGAGTCAATCAACCAAAATAAAAACAAAAGCTGAAGTACAGTTCAATCATTGCTGCAGGACGACTGCCGGCTCCACTTGAGCTACTCCTTAATTGTCCTGCATGTTACAAATTCTACTACTCATTATCAAAAAGAAAAGAGCAGAGTTGAAATGGAGTTTAATCATTGCTCCAGGCGTTTTCAGAATGGTAAATGACATCATGGACTTTTGCTGGAGGCAAAGTGTGGATTGTTAAATGTTACTGAGACTAAACTGCAGATAGGAACACGCTGAAAAGTGATCAAGTTGGAGTAGGGTGAACTTTTCTGATGGTTTGGTTAAGAGTTCAGGTGGTGTGTGGTGGATTTCACCTACTTTTTAACTGTTTCCTGATGGGCTTATTGGGATCCAGCCAGCGCTGTAAAATATTGATAAGAACAGATTTAGAGTCACTCTGCACAAAGCTGGACCACATCATTTCAATTATTCACCGGTGGCCGTCAACACAAACACAGAAACCTGCCAAAGGCTCACACAGATAAAAACAAAACAATCAAACAATCAAGGTAGTAAAACAGGGGGAAAAAAGCAGGCTAGAGCTGAAACAATTAGTCACATTAATCATGTTGACTCATTTATTTAAATAATCTGCAACTAATTTAGTAAACAATAAATCAGTAATTGGAGTACATATATTCAAAAAAGGCCATTTGCTGAAAAACAACACAGAGCGCTAATTAAGGCAAAACTGCACAAAAATATATACATTTTGCAAATTATAGACAGGTTTTATGTGATAAACATAACAGGTGTTATGTTTATCACATAAACATAACACCTGTTACGCTCTTTCATGAAAATGAAGGAGCATTTATGAATGTTTGACAGTTGTCATAAAGTGTCATTTGATAAATAATAACACTTTTAATGCAAAGTTGCTCTAAAAGTTGCATTGAAAGTCCATTAAAAGTGCCAACTTTGCATCATTAACAAAATAATAACACTTTAATGCGAAGTTGGGACTTTTAATGGACTTTCAATGCAACTTTTAGAGCAACTTTGCATTAAAAGTGTCATTATTTACCGAATGAGATTCATAAATGCTCCTTCATGCTCATGACTAATGTCATATTTAAATAAATTAAGTGTAACCAAATAAATCAACAAATTGTTGAACAGTATCTTTTTATTTAGCTTTAGATGCATCCTGTTAGAATGTAAAACGCTTGAAATAATTGCCTTTTTACACTCAAGTATGGTAGACATTAAGTTAAGTCCGTTTTATAGAAGAATTAAAATCCCACAGATCTTTACTACATTAATTCACAATTGATGGCACTACAAAAACACACAAACACAATGTAGACTGAGAGCAGGATACTAACTGGTGTATCTGAGCCATCATCAGCCAGGTGCAGGCCAAAGTAGTCTCTCTCGGTCAGCTCCAGGTGCTTAAACACGGCGTCCAGCAGCATCTGGCCGTGATCCGACTTCTGCGGAGAAGAAAAGAAAAACAACGAATAAGCGCACTGCTCGCTGTGCTGCTTGGCAAACTGGTCTGCGAATCCCATCTTGCAGCTCCCCCCTGAAAGGTCAGGGAAGGAACAGCGAGCGAGCCGAATCCCCTTTTCCCACCACAGACATCTAAATTATTTAAAAACACCCTCGCTGCTGCAGAAACATCCCATCCATTTAAAATTTATCTGCAACTAGTCCGTGTTGAGCCTCATTTAATATGGTTCCAACCGCATTGGGGAGTTACATGTTTAAGGAATTAAGCTGATGAACTCCTGTGGGCTGTTGTTTCTTTAAATTTGTCTCCATTTTGAGCAGAAATATATTATCACAACCACTTAATGACGGTATTTTCACATTAATGAACAGAATCGATCTGTTAAAACAACTTAATTCACATCCAGCTGACTTCAAAATCATCCAAACAGAAGCTGGGCCTGACCATGGATTCGAAAGAGAGAAAATAATTTGACTTTTGGACAGACTGTGGTGAACTGGATGCGAGCCAAACAGCGAAATGTCACACTAATGGAAGCGGGAAAAACGTAAACCAGGGGAAGCAAATCAAAGCGTGAACAGAGTGCCACTTAGAAAAGAAAGAACGGCTGGAAAAAGCGGGGAATAATTGATCGAATCCATCATTAAAACCTCATCGTTCTGAGAGAGCGTAGGACGGGCGAGAGGATAAACTGTGGGAACACAAGTGGAGCAGAAATTCACACCTGATCCTGTAACTTTGAGAGCAAGAGGGAGAAGCCGAGTGTGGAACGCCATCAGCGCTCCCACGGGAGAAAAGTCACACACACACAGAGACACAGTTTGTGCTTTCGTCCACTTCTCCTGTTTGCCCTGGTGACACAGTTTTACAGCGCAGGGTGTGTGAGCGAACGATAGCTGACAGTTGACATGTTGACATGCAGCCCTCTAGGAGAGCTGGCAGTGAGCGTGTTTGTGTGTGTGCGTGTGTAGTCGACGGCTGTCAAAGCTCCATTAAATGTTAGTGAAGCCTGTGTGCCCCTCTGTTCTTTTTCAGCATTTCAACTTGTGAAGTGGTGTAAAACAACTGCTGGGAATAATTAACATAAGAGCAATCAGTTTACAATGAGGCCGTTAGGGCAGCAGCAGTGGTTTTGCTTGTCTTTTTGGCAAAACAACAGTCATATTAGATGGAGAACATCTGCGAAGATCAATATTTTAGTGTTGCCAAAGATTCTCACTTAGATCTAGGTCTGGACTTTGACTAGGCCATTGTAACGTGTTTACACACCTGTCTTGGTTGTGAAAAGGTCATTTTCACACCTTGTTCACAGACTGATGTAACTCTGATTACATCTGATTGGCCAAACTCTACTGATATTTAGAAAGAGAATGTGTGGCCTACACACAAAGCGATAATACATTCTTATGATCTACTTGCATCCCACATATAGAGACAGGCAGGTACTTTACAGACACATAGGGCCATTATTTATAACAATCAAATAACTATGTTACCTTCAGTTGCTATAAAAATGCCATGTATGACTTAAAAGAAATTTGACTTTGTAATTTAACACCTTGAAATGGGCCTCTGTCTCTTTAAGAAATTCCTGCACTTTCTAAAACATTGCCTTCAGAAAGCCATCACAACGTTTTTACCAGCGTTGCACTGAGAAGTAGTTGGTATAATGAGCTCAGCAGATGTTTCACCAGGTGTTTACTAATTGCTGCTGGCTAGTCTTAAGAAGTGAAAAACATTTCGGTTTGTATCCCCCTGCTATGAAGACACATTTATCCTCTCTACATGAGAACTCTAGAACTTTTCCACTGCTTCTCCTTCGTATGATGCAGCTTTTCAGTTGGATGTGGGAGCCCTCTGTGAGTCTCGCACTGCGCTCGCACACCGAATGTGAGCCAGCGCAACGGCAAACAGCCGTATGCTGTTGAAATAAAAACTGAATCACACAGGCAAACATGTCCGCATGCGGTCCTTTTCAGTCGTCTTACCGAACA